ATGTGTGGTTTAAATATCAAACAAATACACACACATTCCCTTACAGCTCAAACATAGTATGTCACGATGCCAGCAACCTGCCGTATGACCAGCAGACAGAGGAGGGAGTCCTGCCAGAAGCTCCCAGGCGGAAAGTGACAGACACCATGTAATACTGCGAATCTGAGAGAGCACATAGTGGTTTCAGAGAGGAATAATTGGGGCAGGAGGAAAGCAGGCAACCATCTTTCTCTAGGTGAATGAGCACTGTCTCTTCTCTGGCATTCATACAACCACAACTTCATGAACCCCCCCGCTGATGCTGACTATTACAGAAAGCATTAAACATAAAGACTCTCCTTCAAAGGATGAACTGCAGACACACATAAAAGTGTCTTCTTGTACAGACAGAGATATTGTTGGTTGGTTTTTGCACACCTGTGATCTGATGACTGTCAAAGGGCATGTGTACAAATATATAACCTACAATACCATATGTGCAAGTGCTGCAATATGACAAAAAGCCTTATTTTTAGCCAGACAAACATGTATTGTTCACTTTATTGACACATGTAATGATATGCAATGCAGAACATTCACAATTGTTTAATACTGGAATAACTGGATTTGCAAAGAAACTAGAATATATTTCTGTGCAGGCTATAGGAAATTATTTGTGCTTGGACTGGACAAAGACATGAAAAAAATCAAACTGAAGAGCATATCTGAAAATTCATGAAAAAAAAAATAAGGATGAGTAAGAAAGTAGTTTGAAATAGAGAGACAGAGAGGGGTGGTTGCAGTGGACTCTAATGAAAGTGGGTCTGACACACTGACAGGCCAAGCCATACACAGAGCAGTCTCCTCCCCCCTCTGGCCTGGCCTATATTAACTCTCCATGGAACTCCACCTCACAACTAGATGCACATGGAGTAGGATGACACACTGCCAAGGCTCCGTGAATATATTCACATTTCCACACAAATACAGGGAAATATCGCACCGTGCTGGAACGTCTCCACTTGTCTGCCTGTCAAACTAGCACTGTTGGATATGCAGTATAAATTCTCCTGAATGGACTATTAACTTCTGTACAATGTTGCTCCGGTCGTCTCAGGAGAACTTCAGCCTTGGTAAGTGCCAAGGGGTCAAGCAGACATAAATGTGATGTGTTAGTGATACTGATGGTATTTCAGTTTTTGCCTTGAATTTAGGCAAATAATGATAATATCCATAATAATAATAATAAATAAAAGACAATTTTAAACAAGGCGGCATGTAAAGAACGGATGATATCTCTAGTGTTACAGTGAACTAGAAAACAGTAATGCAGAAATAGGGCTAAGAGCTCTGTATAAGTGAAAGGGTAAATGGGTGTGTGTAAATGTGTGTGTGAGGGTCATCCCACTATCACCAGCAGATAAAGGCAAACAGCATGTGCATGATCTCATTTGTCAAGTGACAGTCTGTACTGAAGAAACGTGTCCAGATTGCAACAGTGTCATCAAACATTAAAGTAATGTTGCACCATCGGTCCCTGTAAGTGGACGTTCCACTGTAATCTTCACTGAATTACATAAATGTGTGACTTCCTGTCATCCAGTTGTGATGTAACAAGAGAGCAGAGGCTGGAGATGCACCAAAAAATGTTTGTGATAGGAAGAAAAGTAACAGAAGAGGAAGTTTTCTTTTACTCTGTCTTCACAATCCAAAATGTGAGGCAATTATCTTCTTACCCCAGCAATCAGGCTGAGAAAGAGTAAGCAGCTTTACCTTCTGACTTCCATTCATTCATCTACAGCTAAGGACAAAGAGCACTCATGGGGCAAGACGCACATCTGGTTGTTAATCATTATACTGTAGCTCTTATAAAAGCAATATAAAAAGCAATCAGTGAATCTTGCAAAAGGGTCAAATGAGAGGGAATCATATTATCGATACAACTCTAATAAAACATTGAATTTTAAATCACAGCTCAGTTTCTCATTTGTGGATGATGTAACGTGACCTGGCTGAGAGGAAAGGTGGCAGTGGATCCCTCATCGGGAGGACATGTTCAACATCGAAGCATCTTAGAGCATGGACAGCCAGTCTGAACCTCCCTCACCTCTGGTCTTACAGTAAAGCTGGAGAAACAAAACATGGGGCCATACAAAATATACTTTGATTATGATTTACTAACATAGCAGTGAATCAGTGGTAGAAAGTAACTAAGTACATTTACTCAAGTATTGTACTGTACTTTACTTGAGCATATTCATTTTGTGTTACTTCATACTTCAACTTCACTACATTTTAGAAGCAAATATTGGACTTTTTACTCCACTACATTTATTTTATAATTTTAACTACTAATTACTTTTCAGAATCAGATGAATAAAGAAAATTATATCACCATAAAACCTTATTGGTCTCTGGTGGAAAATTCACAGCCCACCCATCAGTAGGCTACTTCACATTATAAGCATACAAGCTAGTTAAAACCCTTTAGGCCTACTAGCTGCAACATTAAATGTGATGTACCAATAACTATAATCCATTATGCATTAATGTTAACCATTCAATTTGTAAATTGTGAATACTTTAAGTATATTTTGATGCTAACACTATTATTTCAGTAACATTTTGAATGCAGGACTTTTAATTGTAGCAGCATTTTTACACTGTGGTATGGCTACTTTTACTTAAGTAAAGGATCTAGGTACTTCTTCCACCACTGCAAGTGAATAAACAAATGAAATAGAAAAGCTTCTTAAAGTTGACTACTCTCCTTCATGTATTTCTGGATAAACCCAGAGTAGCCTACATTTAATACTATACAGTCTCAACTATCTCAACAAAAATAAAAATGAATGAATCTATAGCCTACTGCATTGTTGGCATCGCCCCTTGCTCTCTTTAAAATCTCCTTAGTAATATGAGACAGTATATTAGCCTATAATTACAGTAGCTATCCTACTCAGCCTGTATCGCTAACTTCTTTGGCAAAGTTGATGCATGTTGGTACGAAATTATAACCACGACGTCACTGTGACCTAAAAATAAAAGTATCCTATAATCATTTCTCTGTCTTTGTCCGACTAATATCCAAGACAGTAGCCTAAGCCGTTCTCCCGGTGTGTCGCATCACGATCAGCCCGCATGCACATTGTGTTGTCCGTCGCACCCAGGCCTGTGAGAGCCATCTACAATCACGGGCACATGGTTTCTCACATGGTGCGGATGCGGATGCAGTAGACTGCTACGGCTGTGATGCTGCTGCCTGTCCGCCCATCCATCCATCCATCCATCCATCCATTTACAGCAACCACAGCAAGACCGCAGTCTAAATGAGGGATCGGAACGGAAAACAAATATCGCCTCACTTAATATCTAGAGCCTGTCTTACTCGGTTTTAAATCTCTTGGAAATGAGATGTGAGGGCGCACCGCTAAAAGAGAAACACCCAGCGATTCTGGTGCCAGATGGACTTGAATCCGTGAGCCGCAGAGAGTGACCTGTCCCAGGTAGCCCATTTTTTTCACACACAGCTAATGAATTAACCTACTGTGTGCAATAATCGAAAAACAACAAAATGAAATAAAATTGCACGGATGAATAATAGCGGAAAGACTACATATGGCTTGTAGAGACCGTTTTCTAAACTGCATCTACTGGCAGGCCTAGAGAAGTATTTTCTGCTGACTCAGTTTTGGAAGAATAAATGCCAGAAAACATAACCACTGACATCTAATTCACTTAAGATCAGCAAGTGCCATAGTGCCTTTTTGTGTAATTTAACCACATGCTTCATCTCTCATTTGACAGGCAATAAAAAAGGAAATGTTATACACTACCAGTCAAAGGTTTGGACACATCTTGCTGTTAACTTCAGTGGGAAATGCACTTGTGTATTTATAGAAGCTGCAGTACAACCACTGACATACAGAAAACACATTTCATGCAAATATCTTTGTGTTTTTCTTTAGGCTACATGGATTTTTAGGCCCCGTATTTATTAGGCTGTGTTAACATTAAGAAAATGCAGCTGTGGCTGAATTTTGTTTCAAGAGTGCTGTGGCTATACATAAAGTTGGTTATTGCATTTAAACACTACTATTACCATTTTGATCTGTAAATAATTGAGTTGGGATTTTGAATCTACCGCTGTCACGTGATCTACAACTCCAAACACGTTTTGAATGACTGCTACTGGTTTCATGTACTGCTCCAAAATCCATTCGATGTACAAACATCTGGCTCCGTGCCTTCTGCTAAGTTTCAGTGCAATTAATGCTATAAAGCTACACTACTAAAAGTTGCTTCTTTCAGCTTGTTTGTTTATTTTAATTTATATATATTTACATGCAATAAAGATACATCACTTCAACCATCTGTTTTGACATAATGTATCTGACATAGGTCAAATATATGCAATTCATATGGCCCACAGTATATTATTAAGAATATTTAAAAGAGCAACAAATGCATTAAAATAGATATGGGAACGAGAACGAGGGCTTAAGGTTTCTGGGCTCCTGTATAATGTCTGAAAAGTACATTTAGAGAGAATGTCACTTAATGTGAATAATAATGTTTAATTCAATTGGCAGCAGTAAATGCTGATTAATTGCCATATTTGTTCAAGTTTACTGCATCTGAGTGGCTCATTGTAGCCGTCTGATATATAATAAAACAATAATCTAATTATGAGGTAATAATAAAAAGTAAACTAAACAACTTCTTTGTCATTTGAAAAAAACCCCTCAACGTCATATCACGTTCATAATATCATCATGGGTGAAGGGCTCTCACCGTAGTTAGAATATTTCCGACAGTCATGAAGGCAGCCTTGTGACGTCACGGTGTCCTCAGCTCTGCCCAGCCTAAATGGCGATTGCTAGAGATCCGCAGAGCCGAGTGTAGTCGAGCCATGTCTGGTTTCGATTAAACATTTAATAAACCAATGCGACGAGTAAGGACTGTAAGTAGATTACTGTATTTCAATTTATTATTATCATTTACAATATATTTCTGTTCACTGTAGGTTCGCAAAGTTTTTTTTTCCGATGTCGGCTTTGTGCCGCGTAGGGAAGTGATTACCACGTAGCCTATTCAGAGCCCTCCACCAACAACGGCTCCTTTGTTCGCACTATCACTTGATTTCCGTTTACCGTTATATTTAATGTTTAAAATGTCAGTGTATTAACATCTTTGCTTTTCGCGTATCATTTGTTTTGTGTGTGTGTGTAGCCGTGCGGCCATGGTTATGTGATAAGTAATGTTAGACGGAGGTCTGTCAGTAACGCTAGCTTGTGAGCCTGCCGGTATTCTTCCATTTCTTTTTTTTTTTTTTTGCCAGACCAGATGAACGCCAAAAATGGGCAGTATGAACATGTAAACTACTGAATGAAAGCCGGGTTTCGTCTCTAATGTATGACATTTATTATTCCTGCGGACGTTAACCGGAGCTAAACCTCTGTGGATTATCTCATAATTTTATCGATACTCAAAAACCGGACTAGTGAGTGCTTAAACTGGACGGGGGAGGGGTTATTTTCTACGAATGTCACCACGTTGAAACGAAAGCCAGTGAATGAGACGGTTTGGTTGCCTCTGTACTGTACTTTCACCTTTAATAAAGGTGAACACTTAGTGACATTCACAGCGGGTTGTTTCGTGGAAATTTCTTGTTGTTGTATGGTAGACTTAGCGCTCCTTTCCTTTCTGGTACTGTGTATAGTTTTTAATAACCTCCTTTGTTCTGTTTTTCTCCTGTTTTTCAGGCCATACCCAACTAAAATGGAGGATAGCTTTGATTGTGACTGTGGCGAGCTTGAGCCACCTGATCACTGAGGGTGTGAAATTACTTTGAAGACTTAAAGGCCAGACTCATTTCAGTTTTATAAGTAAGATTAGGTGCATTGACAAGAGAATTACACAGATAAAATTTTTTTTAAAAAGAAGGATTAAAAACTGTGCATGTAGGCACATGTCATATGAAGCTGCTCAGGACCAGTCATACACTGAATGTATCTGCACTGTGAGGATGCAAATATACGCTTTTATAGTTTAACATTGGCTTGGTGCTTTTTAATTGACGTCCAAGTTCATTCCATTGCAGTATATAAACACTAGTCTATGAAGAACGGTTCATTTAAAGATATCCACCCATCCATGATTGGGGGAGGAAATCAACTTGAAAAGTTTTTCTCCTTACTCAAGATGGAAAGAAATTTTGACTGCACATCAGTGCCCCACATCTGAGCCCCTGGGCTAGACAGGGGGAACGCGGTAGTTGTCTGTATAGGGGTTGGTTAGATCACTCTCCAAAGCAGTGGGGGAATTATCAGATATATTCCTCTTAGTGTTAAGGTTGGACTTGAAACAGGCTAGAGGTCAAACATAGCAGAAGCTTAATGTAAAAAGTCTAAAATATTCGTGATGGCTGAGAAGTTTGAGTCACTGATGAATATTCATGGCTTTGACCTGGGTTCTCGCTACATGGACTTGAAGCCTCTGGGCTATGGAGGGAATGGCCTGGTGTTCTCAGCAGTTGACACGGAGTGTGACAAGCGTGTAGCTGTGAAGAAAATTATCCTGACTGACCCCCAGAGTGTGAAGCATGCCCTGCGAGAAATCAAGATTATCAGACGCCTTGACCATGACAACATTGTCAAGGTAAATTGCAAGGGGTCATCTCAAGTTAAAAAAAAAAAAAACTTGTTCAGTTGTTTGAGTATGAAAAAAAAATATGATTGCTTTATGTGCATTTAGAAAACTGACTTTTAATACTGACAATTCCTTTTGTTTCCAGGTGTTTGAGACATTGGGTCCCAGTGGCTGCAGACTAACAGAAGATGTAGTGTCCTTGACTGAGGTCAACTCGGTTTACATTGTGCAAGAATACATGGAGACAGACCTGTGTCAGCTGTTGGAGAGGGGCCTTCTGTCTGAGGGCCACGCCAGGCTCTTCATGTACCAGCTCCTCAGAGGCCTTAAATACATCCACTCTGCCAATGTGCTGCACCGTGACCTCAAACCCGCCAACCTATTTGTCAACACAGAGGACCTGGTACTGAAGATTGGGGACTTTGGGCTGGCCCGCATCATGGACCCCCACTACTCCCACAAGGTAGGACCAGTCTCTGGGTAGCTGTTAGTCAGTCTTGTATTTGAGGAAACTCTGAATATCTGTGTTTAAATGTTGCATAGATAGACTAGAGCTCTAATAAGAGCAAACATAGATTGCACACTTTGCCTGACAGGTTCTTGTTGTCTTGACTCAGGATGTTTGCATTATTGCCCTGTAATGCAGTGCTTTCCAGGGTGACTCAGTTCACAGAAATGAAAACAGGCTTTAATCTAAATAGTTAAGTTCATTGTGTTAATGTAGTCTGAACCAGGCATTACTCTGCTGTGACCTGGTGCCCTACAAGTGTGTGTGTGTGGCTGAGCTCTGCCATCTCTCACTGAGATGACTGACTGTATATAAAAGCTGGACAAACCCACTGTGATGTCACCCATTGGTTTTCTGAAAAGTGATTTTGAACCTCAAGTCTGGCCATCACCATATAGTGTTTCACTACACCTGCTACGGCTAATCTAAAAATGGACAAAGAGGTGGAGCGTGAATGTAGCTGCAGCAGGCTAAATGGGTAGAATGAAGCTAGCCACTGGTAGCGGGACCCTCCCGTCTGTCACTCAAAGTGGCCACTCCCTTAATTAATGGGGATTGACTCCCTTTTGGAGCCAGCCTCAAGTGGCCATTTGAGGAACTGCAGGTTTTGGCACTCGAGCACTGGCTTCATGTCTCAGCCTTGGAGGTTGCTGCTTGTATGGCTGCACTTCAGCACTTTAAAACATGTATTTTGTAGGGGGAAAAAAATGATTCAAATTCAAGAACGCAGCAGCATTTGGGTGTACTTAAGATCAGCAAGTGCCATAGTGCCTTTTTGTGTAATTTAACCGCATTTATTCTTCCAAAACTTTTTTTTTTTTTTTTTTTGAATGGCTTATGCAAAGGAATGGAACCATAACATCCAGCACTGTTGTGTTATGTACTGACATTGTGAGCCAGCTTTTGCCTCAATGAGAAATATTGTCACGTCTTAATATTGTGAGATCTCGTGGCACGAGATCTTGTCACACCCCGAGATAGACCAAATGTTGAATGTCCACTTTTTGCTGTTTTCTGTAAACTTGTGTTTTGTGCTGTGAAGCAGTGTAATTAATGGTAGCAATAAAGTAAGGTTGCTTTTGTCTTTAGCATGAGAAGAGTGTGATCACACTGTCTAATTGTAGCCAAACGGAAGTCCTGTATTGCCCTTGTAGGTGTCTGTCACCTTATAAAGGGGTGAGGAAATTCCAGTTGAAGGCCATATGGTGGTGTGATGTGGCCATATGGTGGTGTGATGTGAGGAAATCTAGATTGGGAAGTCTCTCTCCTCCCTCCCTCGGTAGCTGCTGAATCTTCTTAGACTAGCGAGGCAGTCAAATGCTTACACGTGTCTCAGATTAGTCATCTGAGGTCTGAAGTGGGCTCACGTGACAAGATCCCTCTGGTTGGCACACCCTCATTCATATCCCTTTACACAGCCAGACTGAGATAGACTTGGACACAGTTGTTAACCAGAACTTCTCATTACATTTCAGCTCTGACCTCTATATTCTCATATGCGTCATATCTTGGGTGGAGAGAGTGGTTCTCTGTAATAGGAAGAGGAAGGCGAGTAGTCGTAGCTGTCGGGAAGAAGTGAGAGTTTCTCACATAGTTCAGTCACTAGCTCCCACCCATCATTACTGCACTCCTTCCTTACATCATGGTTTGCCATAAAGGGTTTTTCCCCTCTGTAAAAACACTTTTCCTGATACAAAACATGCAGGAAAGTGGGCATTGAAAGCTGCTTGGCTGGGGTGAGCTTACTTGTTTTTGACTGTTTGCTGTAGTACTGCAGCAGACAGCTGCTGCTGAGTGTTTATCAAGGATACAAATGCTGTAGTCATGTATCAGGCCTAATTAAATTAGCTTTTTTTTGCCACCTATAACCTATAGCTTGTGTCTTAGACCACATGGGGCTGGTTTACAAAAATGAACCCATCTCCCCAACACAATACTATGATGCCCAGTAAAGTTTTTAAGCAAAAAAAAAAAAAAAAAAAAACAGTTTCAGTGTTGGCCTGACATTAGCACACAACCACCCTCTACTCCTGGCAGACATGGTGAGCCAGAGCAGCTGGGTGACTGTGTGTGTGTGTGTGTTATTTGAATAATGCTGTTTCTAAATAAAGAAGTGCTCTTTGCCAGTGAACTTCGGCATCTGGTGTAGTTTTAGTAACTTCTCTAGATTCACGCATCTGTCGTGT